CAAAAGCAAAAAGAGAAGATAAATCTAATTACATAAAACTTTTAAACTTCAGCATGTCATAAAACCCAAAGCAAGGTAAAAAGATATATAAGATAGAAGACATTAACACCCTGTCCTGAATTTTAATTGAGAATGGAACATCTTGTCATACTAGACAGAATGGAAGCTGTCTAAAACCCCTAGGACCACGTCGAAAGGACTCAAGGTGCCAGATTGAAAGGTCTCAATGTTCAGAGATGGGACAATTAAAGTATCAGTGAAAATATTAGCTTCAGTGGATTGAAATCCATCACATGTATTTAAATCCATTAGTTTGTAATTAGGCTAAAGGAAAAAAATTGGTCACTATTGAAGGATACTAGTAAACCAATTCATTATTTTGAAGGATGCTAAATAAGGGGAAGGACTCAAACATTTTTTCCTGCCTCTCCTACATACACTGGTCCTCAGGGTAACCAAAAAGTAGATATAAGGAAGTCACACTCTTTCTTGAAGTATTCCAGCTAATAAATGAAGAAAGGAAGTTAGAATTAGAACATCACCATTTGGCAGACTTTAATGAGTTAATATATCAAGGTATTGATCAATGGTGGGTGACTAGCATTTTTTTTAGAGAGAGAGAGCAGGGGGTATGGGGGGGGCAGAGAGAGAGGGAGAAAGAGAATCTTAAGCAGGCTCCATGCCCAGGGCGGAGCCCGATATGGGGCTCCATTTCATGACGGAGATCATGACCTGAGCTGAAATCAAGAGTCAGACGCTTAACAACTAAGCCACCCAGGCACCCCAGCTGACTAACATTCTAAAAGAGACAACCAGACCTTCTGGGCTTTCTCATAGAAAATCTACATAATCACACAGTGGGGAACTCTTCAGGAGAAAGGAACTACTTTCTTTAACAGATAAATTACAATAAATTAAGAGATGGAAAGGTAACCTATAGATGAAAAGAATTAAGAAACCTAGGAAATAATCACAATGTGTGGTCTTTTTTGGTTCCTGAGTCAAACAAGCAATGGGGGGGAGAAAGGGCACTTAGGATACAATTGGAAATATGAACACTGACCTGATATTTGATTATATTAAGAAACTATACGGGGCGCCTGGGTGGCTCAGTCATTAAGCGCCTGCCTTCGGCTCAGGTCATGATCCCAGGGTCCTGGGATCGAGCCCCACGTCTGGCTCCCTGCCCTGCGGGAAGCCTGCTTCTCCCTCTCCCACTCCCCCTGCTTGTGTTCCCTCTCTCGCTGTGTCTCTCTCTGTCAAATAAATAAATAAAATATTAAAAAAAAGAAAGAAAGAAAGAAAGAAAGAAACTGTAACTTTTCAGGTGTAACAACAGTATTGTGGTTATTTTAACTGTCTTTATCTTAAAAAGATACACATTAAAATATTACTGATGAAATTTCTTTCATCAAATTTAATTCATCAAAATATTATTTGCCTCAAAATAATATAGGTGGGGGAAAATGGTAAGAGGAGAGATGAAACAAGACTGGCCAGGAACTGGTCATGAAAGCCCACTGTTGAACGTTCAGGAATTTTCACATCAACCTGGTAGCTTGCAGTTGGCCATGGTGTGGGTATGTCATCATGAAAATCAGCACACGCTACAAATCAGCTCTGGCCCCAAGAGTTGGATGTTAAAACATTCATCAGCACACCACTGCTATTCTGTCTACTCGTGTATAGGTTGAGCTATTTTCATTCAACAAATATTGATTGAGTGCCAACTACGTGCTAGGCACTGGATAGCATGCTGAGCACACAGCAGTAAACAAAAAAGACATCACCCCATATTAATTTCCTCAGGCTGCCATAACAAAGTACCATTAACTGGGTGCCTTGGCACAATAGAAATGTATTCTCTCAGAGTTGTGGAGGCTTGAAGTCCGAAATAAAAGTGTTGGCAGGGCCATGCTCCTTCTGAAAACTGTAGGGGAATCCTTTCTTGCCTCTTTCTAGCTTCTGGTGGTTGGCTGGCTGGCAATCTGGAACTCCTTGGTTTCCAGCTGCATTAACTCCAGTCTCTCAGTCATCAGATAACATTTTCCTTTATGTGTCTGTGTCTTCATAGGGCCATCTTCTTATGAAGGACAGCAGTTGTATTGGATTAGGGGCCCACCCCACTCCAGTATGACTTCATCATTTCTGCATTTTTCTTAAATTGTGGTAAAAAACATACAACATAAAATTTCCCACTGTAACCACTTTTTTTTTAAAAAAAAAGATTTTATTTATTTATTTGACAGAGAGAGAGAGACAGCAAGAGCAGGAACACAAGCAGGGGGAGTGGGAGAAGGAGAAGCAGGCTCCTCGCTGAGCAGGGAGCCCGATGAGGGACTCGATCCCAGGACCCTGGGATCATGACCTGAGCTGAAGGCAGATGCTTAACCGACTGAGCCACCCAGGAGCCCGGTGGATTTTTGTAAATATTATTTAAACCCAATGTTTAAATAGTCAATCTTTTCAATAATTAAGTATCGACTTCATCTAGAAATAGAAGCAATTAGGACTAAATTAGATTTTCTAGGTAAACATTGCTTTTTGCAAAATAAATATAATTAATGTACATATATCAAACCACAATTCTTCACTCTAGCACATAAATCGATGAAAGGAAAAATATATTTTCCTCTCATATTCATTTCCAAGCACATATGTTTGTATTCTCTATTATGTTTACAGGAACAAACACTTGAATTGGACTCCTAATGTTTCTTTTGATTGTGAACACTGAGTTGTAATTAAGATGCATACACTTAGCCGCAATATTTGTGTTGTCTCAGAATTTGGGAGGATGTAAATTCAGACACTTTTCAGTTTCAAAGTCATTGTGGTTATTAGACTTGAAGTGGCCCTTTTAGGCTTTGCATTTTGCCTGGCTTTATGTCACTATAAATTAGCAGAAGGTAGGTAGCAAGCGATAGGATTGAATTTGGTTACTCTTTTCATCTAATGCATTACAATAGAGGAAAATGAAACAATAATTAGTGTATGAATGGGAAATCAGAAGGAAGAGAAACCTGTGTTCTGTGTTTCAACAGTTAAGGACCAGGGGTGCCTGGGTGGCTCAGTTGGTTAAGCGACTGCCTTCGGCTCAGGTCATGATCCTGGAGTCCCGGGATCGAGTCCCGCATCGGGCTCCCTGCTCGGCGGGGAGTCTGCTTCTCCCTCTCCCGCTCCCCCCTCTTGTGCTCTCTCTCACTCTCTCTGTCTCAAATAAATAAATAAAGTCTTAAAAAAAAAAAAAGATTTAAAAAAAAAAAAAAAACAGTTAAGGACCAGATGTATGCTTCAGAACTATGAATACTTGGTTCCATGGAGAGTTTTTCCCAAGGCTGCCCTTTGTTTCTATGACTTGTTTCCACGTTTGTTAATTTTCTACAAATTGCAAGTAATAATGTGATTTCAGAAACCGTACTGGCTTGTTATTCTTGGTCTTGCATCCCTTTAAGGTCTATGCATGCCAATCACATGTAGCTATAGAGAGTTCATGGACTGGTATTAGAAATCATGCCTTCAGCCAAGTTTTTTTTCTTAGATTGGACGACTTAATTTGGTCCACATTCCATTGGAAACCTATTAGGATTGGGCGCTACAAGATGGCCACAGAGATTTGAAAGCTTAACCTGCATGGGTAAATAAACTTCAGCAGGAGCACACACTGAACAATCATGTCAATACATCCTCTGTATCAAGGTGGCCAGGGGTCCAGACACAACCCACAGCATTCTGGAGGCACTAAGTCCCAGCTGCTGGGAGTACAGAGCAAGCTGATGGGGGATGCATCGTGTACCCCTCCAGTCTTTACCTACTAGCCCACCTGAACCCACTGTGGAATACTACCCTCCACTGCACAGATAATGGCAGAACAAAAATTAAAAAGTAAGGTGGGGACAAGCAGCAGCTAGAGGTTAGAGAAGAGAACTTGGAGCCCTTGTGAGTCTGGCCTGGAGAATGCCAACATGTAATTTTTCTGGGTACTGCACAGTGGAAACGAGCTCTAATTCTTCTCCCAGGGGACAGACTTGCCACCTGTGCTCTCCTCTAATTATCTTTGATCAGGCTTATGTGGTAGGAAGTTATGTTTCAGTGGCTGTGATTGGGCCCAGGACATTGCTAAGTCTATAATTACTAGCTGGTTTAAATCACAGCTCTTTTGGAATTTAGCAGCCATTTGTGTAAACTGCCTCAATATTTTTAGACTGTAAGCTTGTCCTTTTGTACTTCTATGAGAACTCAGAGATGAACAAGTTAAGGAAAAGCAAATTCGTAAGTGAATTAAGTAGTGCACAAAATGAAGAGAGCTAGCCACGGGCAGGGAAAATGAGTCTTCACTGTAGAGAGAGGTATACTCTTTTTTTTTTTTTTAAGATTTTATTTATCTATTTGAGAGAGAGAGAATGAGAGAGAGAGAGAGAGCACATGAGAGGGAAGAGGGTCAGAGGGAGAGGCAGACCCCCCGTTGAGCAGGGAGCCCGATGTGGGACTCGATCCCGGGATTCCAGGATCATGACCTGAGCCGAAGGCAGTCGCTTAACCAACTGAGCCACCCAGGCGCCCGAGAGAGGTATACTCTTGCTCAATAACCTTTCATGAGGTAGAAAGAGGCCTTTACAGGTACTTCCGATTTTGGAATACCAAAACTTTAGAATGAGTCCCCCCAACTAACCACTGACAATATCAGGTGAGGGATAGCTATCAGAAGACCTGGATTCGGATTCCCAACTCTCCCACTTATTTCTTGGCTGTATGATGTTACGGGAAACTATTTAACCTCTGTGATCATTAGGTTGCCCATTAAAAAGAATTAAAAAAAAAAAAACTTCCTAATCATACAACATGGCTGTCATGAAAATCAAATGAAATAACAAAAAGAACATTTTGCACCACTCTGGGTAGAGTAATGGCACTTAATAAGCGCTTAGTAATAATAACAATGATCATTCCTATTTTTTTTTTTAAAGATTTTATTTATCTTTTTGACAGAGAGAGACACAGAGAGAGAGGGAACACAAGCAGGGGGAGTGGGAGAGGGAGAAGCAGGCTCCTGGTCGAGTAGGGAGCCCGATGCAGGGCTCGATCCTAGGACCCTGGGATCATGACCTGAGCCGAAGGCAGATGCTTAACAACTGAGCAACCCAGGTGCCCCGATTATTCCTATTATTGAAGTAACTTGGTTTTCTGGGCTCTACAGGAAAGAAGAGAGATTCCTTTGCCTATGTCCCGTCTCAACTCCATCCAATTGCTAATTAGAATTAACATGGCAGAATAAGTAAAGGGAACTCTTTTCGGGAGGAACTGAGAGTGCCATCCTCCTCCTGGAGATTAAGAAAGGTTATTCTCAAATGGTGTTTTTCCTCCCTCTCTCTAGCATGCCCCTGAAATGGTACAGTTGATGAAGTCAAAGAAAATGGTGCATAAACAAGCTAATTATTTCCAAAGGAAATGAATACTCATATAATTTAATGCAGGTGGTGCTTAATAAACAACCCTTTCACTGAGTAAACAAAAGAGGGAAACTGTGAGTAATTTACAGGCATGTCAGTGAAATCGCTTGATGGTGCCTTATGCATGGACGTCTTAAGACCTATATTCTGTTTTTACCGCTCACCTCTGAGATATGTGTCATTGGAAGAGTCTGGCAACACAAACATGAAAATACCCTTAATCAAGTGTGTATGTGTGGATCCTGCACTTTGCTTAGCGAGGTGGATGAAAAGGATCGGAGTCACTTGTTTATACACTTGGGCAGCTGTGTTTTTGGACCACTGCCACCCTGATTCCGCACTGAAACAAAGGAAGCAAACTCTGTGTTCAAGAAAAGAACGCCTCACGCTTTGGTCAAACAGTTGTCTCCAAATGTTACCCTCCTTTTAAAGAACACTGTAATAATTATGAATATGTGATTAAACGACATTTGGAAAGATTACCTGTGGGCGTGTGAGATTTAACTTTTTTCGTCTTAAGCCATAGTACTGTGGTCATTTACTTGGGCTTTAAAGGGCAACGTCTGACATTTGGTCTGTGGTGGATTTAACAGGCCGCGTGTAAGCTTAAAGGTTTTGCCTGGTTAAATCGGGTTTTATCACAGAGGCTATTTGCAACTTTATGCTCTGTCTCACAGAAATGTCAGGGTTTGCCTTTACTCTGAACTGGGCATAGAAATTCAAGGTTTGTCCCTGAATAGCTTGAAAATGGAAGATCCTTGGCTTTAGGTCCATGCTCTTAACCACCCAGTAACAACCTTGGTGAAGCCTTCATTTTCACTGAGGGTGCTAGAAGGCTTCTGGATGACTGAGCAACCACCATCTTTTGAGAAAGACTAAATGCTTCTAAATCTCTGCCATGTTGTCAATTGCCAGCACATTTTCTCTTCTTCTCTTCCTGGTGGGGAAAAAAAAAAAAAAAACCCATTTGGATAATCAGCTTGAGAAATACATTTTCTATGGATTCTGTGGAAATAACTATCTCATTCGATACGGGAAGTTGACCCTCAGCTGGACTTGCACCACAGCTTGGCAAGCCTCTTGTTGACTCCCTCGGGAATTTCTTAAACAGTTGTTCTAAATCCAAACTGTTTCCACTGCTCTCAAGTCCCCCGTCCTACCCCAGCTGTCCCTGCTCTCACGGATGACCTCACCACCTACTTCAACTACAAAGATGGTGGCCATGTAGGCTCCCTCGCGCCCCGTCTTTCTTCAAGCTGCACAACGAAATGGCGCCCTTGTCTATACTCCCCCATACCCCTCCTGTCTCCAAGAAAGCCATAGCCATGGCCACGGCTACGTCCTCTACTTGGAAACCTGATGCCACTCCCTCTCCGCTCCTGAGAGAAATGGTGCCATTAGCTATTTTTAGTGGCTCTATGCCCATGGTCCATAAACACATTAAGGGCTCCTCTGACTTTGACCCGCGTCACCATTCTATGTCTCCTCTCCCTCTCACTGTCACCTCTCAACGGGTCAAACTTCTCACAAATGTAGCCCCGGCTCACTGACCCCTTTTTCAGCATTTGTTCACTCCCTCACCCCTGGCCACCTAGCTTCTACCCCACACTCTATTATACTCTACTGAAACTGCTGTCTTGAAAGTTAGCAGTGACCTAATAATTGGCAGATTCTATGGGTTTTCTCTTAGAATTCACCCCGCCTGACCTAGCTGCAGCTTTTACCAATGTTGACCAGTTCATCCCTCGTAAAACACTCTCCCTCGCTTCCATGAAATCACTACATTGGGTTTGTGGACTATTTCCTCTATCTATCCCTTAAATGTAAGCATTCCCCATAGGTCCTGACCTTGACCCTTGTCTTATCTAGTCTCTCTCTTTTGATGAACTTACCAATTCCACAGTTTCAATTACCTTCTCTGTGGGGATGGCCACCTAACCTCTATCATTCATTCATGTATACATCCATCAACAATTTGCTGAATGTAGGCCGCATAAGTAGAGTGATGATATAATTTATCATTCCCTTTTTTAAAAGATTTTATTTTAAAGTAATCTCTACAACCAACGCGGGCCTCAAACTCACAACCCCGAGATCAAGAGTCGTGCACTCCATCAACTGAGCCAGCCAGGCGCTCCTATAATTTATCATTCTAACTGGGACATTTTGAGTGTGAATGGGGCCACTATTAATACTTATATCAGAGCAGGCATAAGCCCATACTGTCCGAGGCAAATTGAAACATATGGTAACCCTAAGCATAAGGTATTCTGCTGAGTATTATGAAACTACAAAAGGAAATCATAAATGCATCTTGACCTCAAAGAGCATTAAGTCTAGTAGAGTGATAAGACATGAACGTAAAGAAACAGAATACCACTGGGTGCCTGGGTGGCTCAGTCATTAAGCATCTGCCTTCGGCTCAGGTCATGATCCCAGGGTCCTGGGATCGAGCCCCACATCGGGCTCCTTGCTCAGCGGGAAGCCTGCTTCTCCCTCTCCCTCTCCCCCTGCTTGTGTTTCCTCTCTCGCTGTGTCTCTCTCTGTCAAATAAATAAATAAAAATCTTAAAAAAAAAAAGAAAGAAAGAAACAGAATACCATTAAGAAAGTGATAAATACCTGAGAGAAGTCCAGATAAAATATATTGGGTTTTCAGGGTGAAAGAAGATTTATTTCCATTTCCTTGAAGAATCAGGAAAAGCTTAATGAAAATGGCATTCGAGTAGCCCTTGGATGTAGGGTGGAGAAAGCAGTATGGGCAAGGCCCTACTCATGGATCCTCAGTTTGTGTGCTACAAAAAGACCGCCACATCTATGGGGACGCTGTTCAGACTGCTGACATCTTGGTGATTTGAACATTTTCATATTTTATTTTATTTTTGAAAAATTTCTTTATTTGAGAGAGAGAGCATTTCAAGGGAGGGGCAGAGGAGAGGGAGAGAGAATCCCAAGCAGAATCCCCACTGAGCACAGAGCCTGATGTGGGGCTCAATCCCACGACCCCAAGATCACAACCCAAGCAGAAATCAACAGTCGGCTGCTTAACCGACTGAGCCACCCAGGCACCCCTGAATATTTTCATATTTTAAAAATTATTTGGGGGATGCCTGGGTGTCTCATTTGGATTAAACGTCTGCCTTCAGCTCAGGTCATGATCTCAGGGTCCTGGGGTTGAGCCCCATGTCGGGCTCCCTGCTCAGTGAGGAGTCTGCTTCTCCCTCTCCCTCTGCCCCTCCCCCTGCTTGTGCTCTCTCTCTCTCTCTCTCTCTCTCAAATAAAATCTTTTAATAAATAAATAATAAAAACAAAAACTATTTTGTTACTTCAAAGACGAGTGACTTGTATATTTATCACAAAAATTTTCTAGTAGACAGCAGGAAAATGTCACTCTCTCACAATCAATACATTACAACAATTTTCTGACAGATGGAAATGGTTTGAGGAAGGGACACCTCTTTCTACTTTGCACCAAGATTCCGTGAGCTAGAGATGATCCTGAGTAAAAGAGAGAACTGTGTAGCATAATTAGGGCCGGGAGAATTTATCAGTCTGAATAAGCATGAGGTGCATGAGAAGACAAAACAAAAAAAGATTTGGAAAAGTGGATCCAGACCAGATTGTGGAGGGCCTCGAGTGTCAACATAAGAAAATCAGACTCTAGTCAGTAGGCAAGGGTCAAAATGGTTTCAAGAAGTTACCCTGGAGGGGCGCTTGGGTGACTCAGTTGGTTAAGCGACTGCCTTCGTCTCAGGTCATGATCCTGGAGTCCCGGGATCGAGTCCCGCATCGGGCTCTCTGCTCGGCAGGGAGTCTGCTTCTCCCTCTGACCCTCCCCCCTCTCGTGCTCTTTCTCTCTCTCATTTTCTCTCTCTCTCTCAAATAAATAAATAAAATCTTTAAAAATAAAAAAAGAAGAAGTTACCCTGGGAACAATACATAAAATACTTTCAAAAGGCAAGGACCAGTAGTATGAAAGTCAGTTAGAGGGTTAATGGTCAACATTTCCCAAAGTAGTCCGTGGAACTAGCTCTATTTGTATTACATTTGAATGACAACACTGGACAGTAGGAGAGCAGAAGCAGAGAAAATTGTGTAGTTTAATTCAGCCTTACCATCAAACCATAGCTATGACTCTTATACATTTCTCTCTGAGTGACCTGCCAATGCTTTATATTCATGTGCCAAAAATCAAACCCATCACCTTTTCTCTCAAAACTATTTCTTCTGGGACGCCTGGGTGGTTCAGTCCATTAAGCATCTGCCTTCACTCAGGTCATGATCCTGGGGTCTTGGAACCGAGTCCCATATCAGGCTCCCTGCTCAGCGGGATGCCTGCTTCTCCCTCTGCCTGTCATTCCCCCTGCTTGTGCCCTCTCTCTCTCTCTGACAAATAAATAAATAAATAAAATCTTAAAAAAAAACCCACCAACTATTTCTTCTGTGGGTAGCACCACAAAATAAGGGTGGCTTAAATAAGAATTTCAAAGGTAGGAAGCCCAGGGTTAGTATGATAGCACCATGAAATTTGCAAGGAAACATACTCGAAGGTGTATACCCTGCCATTTTTAGGGTAGGAGTCTTCATTGTCCAAGATGAATGCTGGAATACTTGTTCCAGACAGTGTACTATACAAAGAGAGAAAAATGTGTGATCTCTACCTTTTTGAGGAGACTTCCTGAAAGTATCACATAACACTGCACTTTTATCTCATTAACCAGAACTTAGTCACGAGGACACTTGAAAGTAAAGCTGAGAAATAGTGAGTTTTAGTTAAGTGACAATGTTCCCAGTTAAAATCCAGTTTCTCTTATTTAAAACAAAACAAAACATGGGGTGCCTGGGTGGCTTGGTCGTTAGGCGTCTGCCTTCGTCTCAGGTCATGATCCCAGGAGAGCCCTGCATCGGGCTCCCTGCTCAGCAGGGAGTGCTTCTCACTCTCCCTCTGCCTGCCGCTCTCTCTCTCTGTCAAATAAATAAATAAAAATCTTAAAAAAAAATAAAAATAAAAAAATAAAACAAAACAAAACAGGGACACCTGGGTGGCTCAGTCAGTTAAGCATCTGCTTTTGGCTCAGGTCATGATCCCAGGGTCCTGGGATCGAGTCCCACGTCAGGCCCCTTGCTCAGTGGGGAGCCTGCTTCTCCCTCTCCCTCTGCCTGCTGCTCCCCCTACTTGTGCTCAATCTCTGAAAAATAAATAAATAAAATCTTAAAAACAAAACAAAACAAACAAAAAGAAAAATGGGATAGTGGCAGGTAACTGGCAGTGTCTACAAAGGAGGTGAACTCTAGAAGATTGAGAGGGAAAGCCAGGGGAAGGAGGAGATGTCATGGATGACAAGTTTTCTAGTCTAGGTAGTTAGACGAACAGTTTTTCCTCTTATTTGCAACTAAACCCAATCCTGATATGGCCCAGAGTGGATTTATGTATTTTAAAGAAGAATTTTATTTATTTATTTATTTATTTATTTATTTATTTATTTTTATTTGACAGAAAGAGAGAACAGGCAGGGGGAACGGGAGAGGGAGAAGCAGGCTCCCCGCTGAGCAGGGAGCCCGATGCGGGGCTCGATCCCAGGACCCTGGGACCATGACCTGAGCCGAAGGCAGACGCTTAACCGACTGAGCCACCCAGGTGCCCCTAAAGAAAAATTTTAAAATAGTCTTCCCGTGGCGCCTGGGTGGCTCAGTCGGTTAAGCGTCTGCCTTCGGCTCAGGTCATGGTCCCAGGGTCCTGGGATCGAGCCCCGCATCGGGCTCCCTGCTCAGCGGGGAGCCTGCTTCTCCCTCTCCCGTTCCCCCTGCTTGTGTTCCCTCTCTCACTGTCTCTCTCTCTCTGTGTCAAGTAAGTAAATAAAAAATCTTTAAAAAATAAATAAAATAAAATAAAATAGTCTTCCCATTTGGAGCAACTCAGAAGACACTACTACTCTAG